GGAGATGGAGAGATTATTGAATGTAGGATTTATTGATGTAATGTCAGGGTAGGTTCAATTTCATTCGGTTTTATTTTATGTCAAAACCAAAAACTAAATCGAAATTACTATTTGGTTCGGTTCGTTTCGATTTGGTTTTCTTCAATTTTATTTTAGTTCAACTCCTTTTCGGTTTGATATTTTTTTGTCAGTTCGATTCCGTTTCAGTTCGAATTTGATTGGTTTGTATAATTGTGTGACGGATGTGTATAATATATAGAATGGGGGCGCAAGGTCTCAATCAGTACCAAGGTAATAAAACAAAAAGAATATCATCCTACACACATTTGATCCCTTGGAAAACAAAGTGTTCGGCCATCATGTACCACTACAATCTTTAATCTTATACCACCACCTTCATTATCACCACCATTGTAGTCATCGTTGCTGCCACCACAATCACCGCCACAACCACCACAACCACAATCACCACCACTGTCATGAAAACCACAACAACCTCCACCACTATTGTTGCCATCACGGCCGCCATAATCGTTACCCTTCCCCTACCACCACTGCTACCTCTGCACCCCAACCACCACACCCCACTATTGACACTGCCATTATACGCCCACCATTTTAGTTGTCATCGCCACCACCATCATCATCACCGTCGCCACCACCTGCAACTACTACCAACAATCTTACACTTCCGCTGAGATCACCAATATCAGTGTTGTCGCTGCCACTGCCAATGATGTTGCTACCACCACCATTTTCTGCCACCACTACTAACTTTGCACTCCAACCACCACATTCTATTATTGGAACCACCACCATAGTCGTTACCACCACTACTGCCATCACCCTCACTACCATGTTCATTTTTGTCATTACATACAATTTTATTACTTACTTTAAAATTTACCTAACACTTTTACACTGTTTTAATACGCACAATACTTTAAAAAATACTGTTTATCAAACATTAAATTGCTATATTTTACAATAATTATTATTAAAGCACAACATAAACAATTTTTTTTTAAAGCATAGCAATCTCAAACTGACCCTTAGAATTTCTACCTCTTCGAACATTCACACAACCCATTTGCTTTGACAGGAACCGACCCACCCACAAACTTACTATTATCAAATAACAAAGGTGGAAATTTGAGAGCCCTTTTCTTAATCCAAACCGAAAGCTCGAAACTTTCTATTATTTTATGCCACACCGAACCACTGAAACCGAACCAACAGATTTCAGGTCAGTTTGGTTTTCTAAGTCGGTTCGAGTTTTTCTCGCTTTGTTTTTTTCCCGGCTTTGATATGGTGTTCGGTTCGATTTTCCGGTTTTTAGAACCCACTCTTAATCTCATATCACTTGAATTTAAGGCACATCATATTATTATTACATCTTAATTTTGATAGATTTATCTCGCGGCTTTTCAATGCCCTGCAACAAATCCCAGAGTGGTAGATATTCTTTATCTATTTTTGTTGTTGATTAGTCTAACTATCTATAGATTTCTCCAGAAATAGTTTTGCTCATATCTAGTTAATTATCTCCGAATTATTGGTTGGTAATAGGTATAAAAATGGCTATTTGACGAACTTGTTCAAGTGGGGATTCGTTAATTTCCCATGTGGTTTATCCGGATGAGGTTTTATCTGAGCCACACCTTTTGGCATGCTGCTGTCCGTTATACTCTTGGGGTTGAGCAATGAAATTATATTTTACAGTAAAAAACAGAGGTGGGGATTAGTTTCCAGACCCAGCCATGGTGCGTACATTGATTGAGAGAGGAAGAAGGAAACCCTAGGTCCCCATGCATGCATGATGAATTGGTAGGAACCACATGCACTAATTGCTCATGATATCTTTGCTAATCATGGAACTAATTACATATGCATACAAATTTGCCACCGATGAAATTAACTTTTTTTTGTCTGTCTTGTCACTCACTTCTTCTCACATAGTGATGGTAAACATGATTGTAAATTGTCTTTTCCTTCGTAGCTTAATTAGGTTAAGCATTAACTTTCTGTTTTACGTTAATGTCATGGTCTTGGTCCCGAAAAGTAACGACACCACATATTTGTTGCCACTCTTAATTATTAATTCTATATAGAATTGTATAATGCATGCTTAGCTAGGCATGAAAGATAGATTATATTAAGAATTTACAGTACGATTTACCAATTATCTTCATGAAGTAAGAAGGAAAAAAAAAGAAAAAAAAAAGAACCTTATATCCTACAAACTTTAGTGGATGAATTTAAACAAAAATATACACCCGTTCTTGAGAACTGGGCGAGAGCTTTATAGGAGATAATTTGGAGAATATGAGTGAATGCTATTACGTCGGCATATATTAAAATGAATAGATTCATAATTGATGTAGGATTAGACTGGGTGAATTCCTACGAGGAAAAGTAAAGAAAAGAAAGGGATTTAAAATTGATAAGACAAAAAGAACGCAGTTTCCCAAAAAAATAAAAAGACAAAAAGAACACATAAGGAGTCTATATTTGGTGTCTGAGTTCTGTTTCGGGGCATAATACATTCTCGAACAGAGCACGACGTTCCGGTTCAAACTCATTGTTTTGCTGTGATCTATGATGGATTTAAGCTATTCGAGGTCGTTAGGCTTATAAAACTACATTTTGAATTTTGTAATAAAAATCAAACATTTTATTTGTCGTCTAATTAATGTCCTTTTGTTTTCATTTAATTTTCAGATGCCTTTGAGTTACTCCAGGGTGTTGTAATCAGCTTACTTAAGTCATTGGCGGCCCCCTATTGTAATCTTTCAATCAATTAATCAAAACACAAACTTTGAGATTTCTCTCAAAATAATTTGTCTTTCAAAGATTTATGCTTGTAATCCTTTTAAGTTTCGCGCTAGTAATCTATGAATAATTTAATTGATAAAATAATGATGGAATTAAGTATTAATACGAAGATAGATCACATTAAAGTCTAGATTTGAACACCATACTGAAGATCATTTGTCACATAATTGGGGGATCCCTGTGTTCCATGCCAATACAAAGAGTAAGAGGAAAATTTACAATGGAAATAAAAGGAAAAAATTTAGTTTTTTTCTTTTGATATACTATAAGATATAAAGTATAGGTAAAGTACTAGGGTTTAGCAGTGTCAGTTTACTTTTTTAAAAGATTCTAAAAGACGTTAGATGTCAGTCGGACCATGGGCAGAAGCCTAGCACGTAGGTGTACAGAAGGGAGCCTAGGCAAGTTTTTTTTTAATTTAACATATAAATAAATGTTCACTCACACTTAAAAAATACATAATTGTATTGGCTATAGAAATTGGAAAGTAAAATGACATATAAATTATAAAGTAATAGAATATATTCAAAACATAGGAACAAACATATAATGATTGTTCATCTAAGTATCCAACAACTCTTTTGTAATTTATTTCTATTTTTTGAATTTCATGACTTAGGCTGTTCTAGGCAAGCACGTAGGCAAATTTAGGCGTTATTTTTTATTTTTTAAATGCTTAGAGATTAATTTTGACGGTGGCCAGCCGCCTAGCCTAGGCAAGGGCCTAGACGATGCTAGGCGGAGACTTTTTAAACACTTGTTGTTTTCCTTAAACTTCAATTTACAAGTTTTTATTAATTAAATTCAATTTACATAATGAGTTAACTAAATTATGGAATTTGCAGCAACTGTGGATTGTCTTAACAATATTCAGCATAAATTATCTATTGTTTGTCAAAAAGTAAAAAATTTGTGAATTTTGTTTGAGAAGAGTAATAATGTTAATGAATTAAATAATTAGTTATTAAGGAAAGAAGAATCGGTATACATTAAACCCCACTAAAATGCAAAACATGATTATCTGCGGCACTATCAACAAAAATTTATGAAATTTGTAACAGATAGTTGCAACATATTATTATTATTATTTATTTATTTTCCTTTTACTCATGAATCATAATCTACATGGCATGACATGGAAGGCATGGGTCAAACGGATAAGCTATTGGATATTCTACACAAACTTTGCCCTCTCTTTTTGAGTGGTTCCTCGCATAGCCAATATGTTAATAAAAGAGGTTTCTGGATTTTCAATACAAAACACCAAGTGTCATAAGTAAATAGAGACTTAAAAAAATAATATTCTGACACTTAATGCATTTCTGACTTTGAAAATATGGATTTGAATCCTATTCAGATTTAAATTGTGGAATCTTAAGAATTCTTACATCTTAACTATTCATTATATATTGTATGGCTAAAAATTATTTAATTTTTTTATTAAAAAATTAAATATAAATTATACATGACGAAAACTGACTGCACGATGAAGATGCTAAAATTCCTAAAAAAAAGATCCAAAGAGAGTCGAAAATATCAATCAAAAGCACGTCAGCAAGGTAGATGAGTCCAGTGGAACCGAGTATCCTAGTAATATACACGTGGACGGTTGAAAAATGCAGTACAATGATGTTGACTTGCGGTAAAACGTAAAACGATAAAAAGCTAACTTCAAAGTTCAGAAATGGATAAGCCTGACCGTGAAAAACTTAAAAAAGTAGACAAAGAGCGTATCACGTGTCACCACGTGGCGATCAAAGAGAGGACATCTTCGGTGGGTCCGGGGGTGTATAATTCGAGCCAGTGGAGGACGGTAAACACTAAACACTAGAACAAAACCCCGAAAAATGATGGAAACGTCGCCGCTTAGGTGTTTGGTCGGGACCCACCAGACCCCAGAGGTTCCCTATAAATGCGGAGCCTGAGACGCGGAAGAACATACTCCTTCAAGCAAGAACACCATCCGAAATATCGGTATTTTTTGTGACGTGTTTGCCCAACACCGCAGGAGAAATCTCGTGCGTGTTGTTGCCTCCTAGTTCCCCTGCCACCTTTCCCTTTTTTCTTCTTTTTCCTTCTGCTTTCACCTTCCTCGGTTGCATCAAAAGCCAAACACATCCTTAGCTTTTGTTTCTGTGTTCGTTTTTTGGAGTTGATCACTCACAATGTGTGGAATTCTTGCTGTTCTTGGTTGCTCTGATGACTCGCAGGCCAAGAGGGTCCGAGTTCTTGAGCTTTCGCGCAGGCAATTTCCTAATTCCTTTCTTCTTTCTTTCTTTCTTTCTTTATTTTAATTTTTCAGGTGGTTTTCAAGGTTATAATTCTTAATTATTTGTTGAATTAAGTTAAGTACCACTTGCATGTCTCTTGATTCCTTTCATTTTCTGTACAAGCGTTATTGGGAGAAGGATTTGAACATGAGAAACTTACCTATATCTCGAATATAAAGGTCGACGATGCGTATCTTAAGAAATGACGCACTTACGTGTGTTTTTAACTTTATCGCATAATAATATGTAATTGGCTTAAGATGCGGCTGCCTGTCTATAAAAATTCTTATCTGGTTGTCGGGTAAAATATTGTTGAACATCCGAGTTACAAACCCTTCATGCATTTAGATTTTAACACAGAGAACTTTAACGAAAAGCTCTCAGTGCTGTTGATTTTAACAAAAAAAATCATATTTTTACACTAAAAAGTCAATCATGGTACTATTTACTTTACCCTTTATTTTGTCATTATCTTTAAAACTCAACATTTTTAAATCATTTTTATTAATTTTCTTTTTAATATATACTTCTTATGGAAGCTCGAAGCCAACATGTTGACTTTTATTTGTACCACAAAGTCAAAAGTTAAAAATGGACTATACCTTTAAATTTTTGTATTTAGCTAATTAGCACTTGCATACATCTAGATTGTTCACATATGATAATTCTGGTGTGCGATTCATCTGGGTTTTACTCAGAGCCAAGATCTGTCGACGTTTTGTTGTATTATAAAAACGAACAAATAACATGGCGACCTTTTTGTTGCACATTCTTTTATTTTTCAACAAGCATCACAATAATATGATCATAAATATGGTAATTGGTTTTGGTTACGCCAAGAAATTAGTGTTTGGTCAAAATCAAACGTTTGATTCCGACCCTTTTTGTGACTTTGGAGTGGTCGCAAAATTCAGGCTTCCTTTCATGTATTAGGTTGTGGGGGTCCAAAATGATTAGAATTTGTGTCCATTTTTTTAAAACAAGACAAAAAAAAAAAAATGATCGGCAATTGAAATCACATAGTTTAATTATGTAATTATTTTTTTCTCAAAAAAAAAAGAAGTAATTATTTATTAAATTTTATCTTTTTTTGTTTGTTTGATAGATTGAAGCATCGTGGACCTGACTGGAGTGGGCTGTACCAGCATGGAGATTGTTTCTTGGCTCATCAGAGGTTGGCCATCATTGACCCTGCCTCTGGTGATCAACCTCTCTACAACGAAGACAAGTCAATTGTTGTCACGGTAAAGTCACGTCATATAATTCTTGTTTTTGTGGGGTTTAATTATGTTGAATATTCGAAAATTGGATAAATTTTTCATTGCTGATACAAGGGTTTTATTTATTTATTTATTTTAAAATCATAGGTGAATGGAGAGATTTACAACCATGAAGAGCTGAGGAGCCGTCTGCCGAATCACAAGTTCCGAACCGGCAGCGATTGTGATGTCATTGCCCATCTGGTATGTCACCTTACTATATTTCTATGGTTTTGAGCTTTATGATTGATTTTTCGGATGATATAAGTCATTTTCGTGTATTTGAAGTTTCGATTTCTTATTAATTATCGGGTTGATCAAGGCGATTGGATGTTGAGTGTGCTGATGGACATACAGTTCTTGGTTAGCATCACCAGTGTTTAATATTTTTTCTTCTTCATTTGTTTGCGTAGTATGAAGAGTATGGGGAGAATTTCGTTGATATGCTGGACGGCATGTTTTCGTTTGTGCTGCTGGATACCCGCGACAACAGCTTCATCGTTGCTCGTGATGCTGTCGGAATCACTTCCCTCTATATCGGCTGGAGTCTTGATGGTAACGTCTTGTTTTAGCTTGCTTGTTTTTCTCTGCAATTATTCCTTCGGTTTTGACATCAACGTGTGCTATTTTTTTTTAATCCAGGCTCGGTTTGGATATCATCGGAACTGAAAGGGTTGAATGATGATTGCGAACACTTTGAGAGCTTTCCACCCGGTCATCTGTACTCGAGTAAAGAAGGTGAACTTAAGAGGTGGTACAACCCTACTTGGTTCTCGGAGACCATTCCCATCAGGGCCATATGATCCGCTTGTTCTGAGGCGCGCCTTTGAAACTGTAAGAATTCATCACTTGAGTTACTCCTATTTCGCATGGATGTCGGAATTTGTTTGGAACTATAGCTTATGGGCCGAGTGTATTACATGCAGGCTGTGATCAAAAGGCTAATGACTGATGTGCCTTTCGGAGTTCTTCTCTCCGGAGGTCTGGATTCATCTTTGGTCGCCTCTATCACTGCTCGTCACTTGGCAGGCACAAAGGCGGCCAAGCAGTGGGGTGCACAGCTCCATTCCTTCTGTGTTGGACTCGAGGTGAGAAATCTAAAATATTTAAGAAACGTTCACTATGTATCTCATGAGAACTTATAGATTCCTAAACAAGTCTGTCCATATGCTGAGCAGGGCTCACCCGATCTGAAGGCTGCAAAAGAAGTTGCAGATTATCTGGGAACCGTTCACCACGAGTTTCATTTTACAGTTCAGGTACCAATATAAAAAACCTGTCTAAGCTAATGAGTTTGCTCCTCTCTTTATCGGAGCCAAAACCTTGAATTATTTTCCTTTGGGATGTGATAGGATGGAATTGACGCGATCGAAGATGTCATATACCACATAGAAACATATGATGTTACCACTATCCGAGCAAGTACCCCTATGTTTCTCATGTCGCGTAAGATCAAGTCCTTGGGGGTTAAGATGGTGATTTCTGGCGAGGGATCTGATGAAATTTTCGGTGGATACTTGTACTTCCACAAGGCACCCAACAAAGAAGAGTTCCACCGCGAAACCTGCAGAAAGGTACTGGATTGTTTCTTTATTTACATCGAAAATAGGTGGTTATCGTAGAGTTTGAATGGAAAGGAAATAACCGTGGAGTTGTTCTTTTTGCTGCATGCAGATCAAGGCACTGCACATGTATGATTGCCTCAGGGCAAACAAATCAACATCTGCCTGGGGCTTAGAAGCCCGAGTCCCATTCTTGGACAAGGATTTTATCAAAGTTGCAATGGATATTGATCCCGAGTTTAAAATGGTGAGACATAAGAATATATATATTGGGATTGCTTCGGTTTGCAGTGTAACAGAACTTTTATCGTTACTGATCACTTGACTTTTCAATGTATATGTGAATAAATTACAGATCAAAAAGGACCAAGGAAGAATTGAGAAATGGGTCCTCCGAAAGGCGTTTGACGATGAGGAGCAACCTTACTTGCCAAAGGTATACCCTTTTGTTTCTTTCTTTCGTTTAAGTGTTGCTGAGAAGTTGACATCCATAACACTAACTCGTGAACTTACAAACCCTGTTCAATGCGTGCAGCACATTCTGTATAGGCAGAAGGAGCAGTTCAGCGACGGGGTTGGCTATAGTTGGATTGACGGCCTCAAATCCCATGCTGCTCTCCATGTACACATCTATCCAATTTGTTTTACGCTTCTCTTTTACATTTGTTGGTAGTAATCTAGAAGATGTTATTAGATTGACTTGCCTGATGATCGATGCTAAACTTATACTTTCAGGTCACTGATAAGATGATGATGAATGCTGAACGCATCTTCCCCCACAACACTCCGAATACAAAGGAAGCCTACTACTACCGAATGATTTTTGAAAGGTTCTTCCCACAGGTGAATATACCGAACGATTTGATTGTTTATGTTCTTTTTCTTCAACTCTAAAAACCTAACAAACTCTTGTCCATGAGATTTAATACCACTCTAGACCAGATGTTAGCATAGAGACCTAACTCACTATACTTATAATCCGGTAATGCAGAACTCGGCCAGGAACACGGTGCCTGGAGGACCGAGTGTAGCCTGCAGCACAGCCACAGCTGTGGCATGGGATGCTGAATGGTCCAAAAATCTTGACCCATCTGGCAGGGCTATATTTGAAGTGCACCAACAAGCTTATGACAAGCAGGGTGCACCGTTGACTAGCGGAATTCCAGAGATCATCGACAATGTACCTCAGATGAAAGCGAGCACCGTGGGGGTTGCGATCCGCAGTTAGTAATGCCCGAAGGAGGATCCGAACCCTCAAGTTTTAAGGAGGGTGGTAATCAGTGATTACTAATCACAGAATTAAGAGGCTTTGCGATGTCTTTTCGATGTAAAAAATGTAATGGGGGCTTCTATGTAAAGTTGAAAGCAAAAGGCCACAGTGGTTTCCAATGGATGTTTGTGTGGTCATATGTTGTAGTATTCTTAAGTGTGTTGTCTAATGTTGTTGTGGAGATGTTTTAAAGGTTAGAAGAACCTCTATGTATGTTTCCTTTTGGTTTCAGTCCTCTTTGTCTCACTTTGAATAATAAGAAATGAACCTGCATATGTTATGGTGTCTTTCTTCTTTTTTCGTCCAAATTGGAGAGGTTGATAAAAAAAAACTGGTGAATTCGAGGCCAGTAATTTGGTTGGATAAACAAACGTATTATGAATGGGGAAATGATATCCGCACACTTCTTAGTCATTTAAAAGTACTTTTTAAATAAGTCTTAAATCTCAACCGTTATTGTCAAAAACAATGTGTGGAGAAGAATTTCCGAACATTCTAATTACTTGCGTTTGATTCTTCACAATAATAGAGCGGGCTATTCGGGGCCAAAAGTACAGACATTTTTCGAAGGCCCAATTAAGATTATGAACGGATGGTAGCAAAAAATGTCAAAAATGATAAAAAAAAGATTGTGGCTGCTGGGATTCGAGCCCAGGTCTCCACGGCCACAACGTGGAATTCTTACCACTAAACTACAGCCACTTTATGTCTGATTGAGCTTAAAAGTTTCTATTACTATTTCTCACGAGTTATTGCAAATTTACAATACATGAACATCGTCGTTCAACTATATTTTAAATATTAATAATCTCTACTCTACTAATTAATAAAACACTCATTGTCAACTAAAACCTTATGAAATTATCAGTTTAATCATCTAATTAAAATAGAACATGAATAAGAAATGTAATTTCACACAACCAAATTTTGCTTTTTTTTTTTTCAAAACCTCACATACATGTAATCATAACATATTTCTAATTAAAAAAAAAAAAAAAAAACTTCCCACTTCCACACTCTCTTTCTCTCTCCTACTATTTCAAAAATAAAAATAAAAATCTTTCTCACTGCCCATATACTAGTATGTATATTAATCCACCATATAATGGCGCAACAATCATAATAAAAAAAAACAAATCCCAAAAGAGAAGATGAAATTTTGTGTGTAGGAAATATTGTCAACCTCAAATAATAAAGTCCAGGAAATATGTAATAGAGAGATTGTAATCTAAAGATGTTAGGTTCATAAGACCTCTCTTTCTCTCTCTCTCTCTCTCATACACATATCCTGAATGTTTCTGATTGTATGACCAATTAGGCATTGACAATCCGCTAAAGATCAATACATACTATGTCTTCCACTTGAGAGAGTGGTTAGTCTCGAGTCATTAGTGTGAAAGACACCAATACAAGTATGTAGGTGCTCAATAGAGAATGAGTTCACTAAAGGGGTCAAACTAGAGTTCTAATATGGAAGTCTTTTCTTACATGTCAAATAAGAAACTCTAAAGTTACAATAATGCAATTAATCTTTAGACTTCAGACAATTGTCTTACTTATGGAGACGTTTTTGATCATTTGACAATGCGTCATGATTTTTGAGTTTGTTCAACACATTGTTGAGGTCTTAGACTTATTCGTAGATGCATGTGACAATGAATATCTACATTCGATAAAGAATGAAAATACTCTAAGATATGATTCTGAAATCTCACACGAGAGTATTGAATATAATCAAGAGGGTGTCCTAAATAATATTCAATATGAATCATATAAACTTTAAAATTCACATTAGAGGCTTGGCATAAACTAAACTTGTGCTTTCATATATATGGAGAAGAAAACCTCACTTCAACAAAGGCAAAGATTCCAAAGCCAGCTGAGTCATTCACATTATGATAGCCAATTGTGAATGCCTCAAAATTTCTTATACAAATTAACCCTGGAAACCTTAAATGAACTTTAACTTTAGCAGTAAAATGATCACAAGTTTCCTTTCCGGTTAAAGTAAATAGGTTTTTTTTTTCCTGCCATGCAGCTGCCACAAAAGGACATGGATCGTCTACTAAAGTATACTCTGAGAATGACATCTTTGAAAGTAGTTGTTAGTATTCTAAAATAGTTCTTGCAATAAACATTCTTAACTACTTTTTTTTTATTTAATTTTTTTTTTTTTTTTTATGATTTTCATAGAATGCTAACAACAACTCTATTCACTAGAACTTCAATGGGGAAGAAGCCAAAGAGGGTCACAATTTCACCTAAAAGTTTTTTGTCATAAACCCAAATTCATGAGGATGAAGGTGATACTTTGGATGTTCATGTTGCATGAGGCTTGTACCTATATTTTCCAAAAGAGTAAATTGTACAAATGGTCCCTCAACTTTAATCAAATTGGAGCAATGGTCCCTCAACTAAAAATCTATTACCTTTGGTCCCTCAACTTATCAAAACGTGCATCTATGGTCCCTCAACTAAAAATCCATTACCATTGGTCCCTGAACTTTAATTCAATTGGAGAAATGATCTTTTAACTTTAACCCAATTATAGCAATGGTCCTTCTAATATAACTCGTTTTGACAATTTTTTTGACATAGTTGACGAAAAGAACCATAATTATACACTTTGATGAGTTAAGGGACCCTAATTATATAAATGGTCATTCCAACATAGCTTATTTTGACAAAATTTTGACAAAATTGATGAAAATGACTATAGCTACACATTTTGATAAGTTGAGGGACCAATGGTAATGAATTTTTAGTTGAGGGACCATTGCTCCAATTTGATTAAAGTTGAGGGACCATTTGTACAGTTTACTCTTTCCAAAAAGCAAAGTAAGCATTGGAAGAATGATGTTCTCATAGAAAGGTGCAGTGCCTAATGGGGAGATTCCAACTTTGAGGCGCCTAACATAACATCACACAAAAAGATAGGCTCTCATAGACATTAGACACCAAGTTGAGATGACCTCACCCCACATTGCCTGCCTCCCTCAGCACACAACCTTGGCCAGTTGGTCCCAACTTGAACTTCATGAAATCTCAACAACAAGTAATTATTGTACGAGTTGTAATGTGACATACTCGGGTGCATTGAATTCACTCAAATTGAAGATAGTATAACATTATTAATAGTAGCAAATTCATGAATTCATCTTTTACTCTTGATAGATGAAAGAGCTCTCAACCCCTTTAAGACCATTTTTAAGAAAGAGAAATGATTTATGCACACCTATTCTCCTTGGTATAGTCAATCAAAAGACCATAAATAAATCGATTCTCCTCTTTTTTCTTGGATTCATACATAGGCATACATTGCCTTTCTACCTTACACCAATGTATAATATGTTGTGGCTTTTAAGCGACTCATATACACAAATTAAATTGTATAGAATTTTTCAAGATATATTTACCCGTTAATTTTAGCAATGTATGTCTATACACTGATATTTGAACGACTAGATTGAAACTATCAAAATTTAGTCATGCAATTCAATACAATAGTTCATCCCTTACACTAGTACATTATAGAATTTTAACATAATATTAATGTACTCTAAGATTTTCTCATAAAAATACCGTATTCAACAAGACCCATGATGATTTGTGGACAAAACCACTTGCATTCCAATGACAAAGCAAATAGTGTCAGTTCAGCTTCAGGGGTCCAAATAAAAATCTCACAAATCCACCGTCACCAATCCATCTCAATTTTTATCTCACGTGTGAGAGTGAACCCTACCTCTCACATGCACACAACAAATCCAAATTCCTCTTACCATTTTTATATATAAGGCCCATTTGCAGTTGCAGAACCAAGATTTCAACTATTATTCTTAAATTTACATTACATTACTTATCCTCTCTCTCTCTCTCTCTAGTTCCTCTTTTCAGCTAGCTTTTGCTTTTTCTTTATTACCCAATAATCTGTAATGGCTCTTTTCTGCTCCCAATCTGCTGGTTCATGCTTAACTATTCTGTGCCTAGTTCTTGTTCAATGCCACTCTGCCATAATATACAGCATGAGGAACCACCACCACAACTTCCACCCTCACAGAACAGCTCCAATGTTCCAAACCAACCAATCCAGTTGCGCATTGTTTGCAGGCAATTGGGTCCAAGACGACTCCTACCCAATGTACCAATCCTCTGAGTGCCCCTTAATCATCGACCCAGAATTCAACTGCCAAATGTACGGCCGCCCGGACTCCGATTACCTCAAGTACAGATGGAGACCCCTCAATTGTGAGCTCCCAAGGTAACCAAAAGTGCTTTCAAAATGTGATTTTTTTCATATGGGTTTGTGCTGGTTTTTAGATTTTGAGCTTCCGTGGTTAGCAAAAGCACTGCAGAAGTGATTTTGCGAAATGGGGTTTTGCTGGTTTTGATTTGAGCTCCGAAGGTTTAGCAAAAGCACTTCAAAAGTGATTTTGTGAAATGGGGTTTTGCTGATTTTGATTTGAGCTCCGAAGGTTTAGCAAAAGCACTTCAGAAGTGATTTTGTGAAATGGGATTTTGCTGATTTTGATTTGAGCTCCGAAGGTTTAGCAAAGGCACTTCAAAAGTGATTTTGTGAAATGGGTTTGTGCTGGTTTTTTGATTGTGAGCTCCCATTGTAAGCAAAAGCACTTTGAAAAGTGATTTTGTGAAATGGGTTTTTGTGAGTTTAGGATTTTGTTTACATTGTGGTGACTTTTGGTGTAGCTGCTTGTTCTTGGTAGGTTCGATGGGGCTGAGTTTCTGCTCAAAATGAAAGGGAAAACAGTGATGTTTGTAGGGGATTCACTTGGGAAGAATCAATGGGAGTCTTTGGTTTGTCTCATTTACTCCGCAAATCCACAAACCCAGACTCAAATGGTCAAAGGAGTTCCACTTTCAACATTCAGTTTCCTGGTGAGTCTCTGATTAATTTGCTTTGCTTCTTTCTGGGCTTTGGTACCTTGTTTTCTTGAAGCAATTAGATTCAAATTCAATGCCAAAATGTCTTTTTACGAGGAAAATTTTAAACCACTCCAATTTGTGGAAAAATGAAATTCAAATTTGAGTGCGAGAGGCGAACAAATTGCCCTAATCAACTTTCCATATCACATAAATGTGCATCAAGGCATTTTCATACACTATTATTGTTGTAGGAACAAAAAGATTGCAAGTTCATTTAATAAATGAACAAATTACTTTCCCAATTTTTGACAATGATTTGAAATGTTAGTCCAAAAGAATGACATCGGGAAACTGTATGAGGGACCCTTTGGGTCAGTTGGTGAAGACAGCAGGATAGCACCAACATGTTCTTTGTCCCAAAAAAGTCACGAGCTAGGAAATGAGAGCATCATTTCGTTTCAATCCAAACAGGATCTTATTGGGTTTTGCTACTATAATGCAGGACTACGGTGTGACACTGCAATTTTACAAAGCTCCGTACCTGGTCGACGTAGAAATTTATCAAGGGAAGAGAGTTCTGAAGCTTGAGGACATTTCGGAGAACGGCAAGGCGTGGCGGAATGCCGACGTTCTGTCGTTTAACACCGGTCATTGGTGGAGCCACGACGGAGGTCTCCAAGGGTGAGCAATTCCTGTGTTTTGTTTAGCTTATGGTAGTTTTATGCAATGGTAAGTTTAGGTCAAATTCATAGTCACATACAGAGTCAAGCATTTGGTAAAGTGGGGTAGAAATAGTGAAAATGACTTCTAGAGTATAGAAGCACTGTTTGAAGCAAAAGTGCTTTTGAACCAAAAAGGTACCAAAAGTTGTAAAACGTTTTAATGGGGTTGTCCAAAATGTTTTTGACATGTTCCAAAGCACTTCCAAATGCTTTTGGCTTGTCACTTGGTGTTTTAAACCTATTACATGTAGCGAGTTATATAAATTTGAGATACTAAAGTGGTGGTGTACTCGTTTAATGTAAGTTATTTTCGGAGAATTGGTTTGAAATTTAAGATCATTGTGTTTGTGTTGGACTTTGAAAACGTGTAGGTGGGATTACATGGAGTCAGGAGGGAAATATTACAAAGATATGGACCGTTTGGCTGCTTTGGAGAAAGGGATGAAAACATGGGCTAATTGGGTTGATTCCAACATCGACACCTCACGGACCCGAGTTTTCTTCCTCTCCATTTCTCCCACACACTTCGAGTGAGTCTCTCTTTCCTCCCCTTTCTCTCTCCTTCCCACCAATAATTGTGTTTGGTGGAAATTCCAATTTCCAATTTTTCAGGGTTCATAATTTATATGTTGGAATTTGCTAGGCACTGCTAGCTTCAAGCACCAAAAATTTGCTCCATTTTTTTTTATTATCTTTTTGGGTTGCTAAATGTTAACTTGATTCCTACCTTCTATTTAAGAGAAAATTTTCAGTGTGCCGGGAACAGACTCACGGTCTGATACACCAAGTGTCATAATACATTTGGTGTAGCGGGCTGTGGTCTTGCACATTGAAAATCTCTCTGTATTTAGGTCGGTACACTAGCCATAGATGGTGGGGTCTAATAACTGCACAAAGATATTTTGAAGATATTGTAGTGTTACAGTTCCTATCCGATTCTCATCTTGGTCTTGGAATTTAGCTTTATAATTCTATTATCCTTAAAAGTTAAACCATGTCACTTTGGTCCTTCCGTAAAAAATTATTTACTTTTCAATCAAAATTTATAAGAACAAATAACAGACTTTCGACGGAAGGACTAATGTGAGAATCGGGTAATTTAGTGACCATGGATTGTGTGTTTATGCTTAGAACATGACATGGATTTTTGTACATGGTAAACTTGACCAACATGCTAAATTGACAGCCCAAATGAATGGAATGGTGGTGCAACTCCTAGAACCACCAAGAATTGCTATGGAGAAACATCACCTATGAAAACGAGCGGAGTAACTTATCCCGGGACAACTTATCCAGACCAAATGAGAGTGATGGACAGTGTGATCCGGGACATGAGAAATCCTCCATCTTTGCTGGACATCACAATGCTTTCAGAGCTGAGAAAAGACGGGCACCCATCAATCTACAGTGGAGAATTAAGCCCTCAGCAGAGAGCCAATCCTGACCGTTCAGCAGATTGCAGCCATTGGTGCCTTCCTGGACTGCCAGACACTTGGAACCAACTCTTTTACACAACTTTGCTCTTCTGATTTTTATTTTATTTGCAATCTAGTTAATTAACATGTTATTTAGGTTTTATTTTATGTTGTGATACATTTATGATGAGAGAGTGCGAAATTTGCAGCTCTATCTTGTAAAAGTGATGCAAATACATTGTTAGTGTTAGTGGAGAGATTTTTCAGTGCGTCGGAAATACGGTCTGATACATTAAGTGTAGTAATACAATTGGTTGAAAATTTGAAAAGAAATGTTTCTAACTAATTGTATTAATACATTCGTATACCAAGCTATGCTCTTGACATACTGAAAAATTTAAAATGAGGTTCTTATTTCCTCATTATTTTTTAAATTATAGATTTCTTTAACGTTTTTATTATTTTTATGTTTCTCTTGGAGGATTTTTTTTCTCTCTTTTACTCATTTTCATCCCATTTTCGTTAGTTCTAATTTAAGTTCAAAGCAATTTCCATTGAAGTCCTCTTTCGCGACATTATAAGCTCTAAAATAGATTTTGCCGGAACATATTCCCGTAACGATTTAGTCAAGTTGATTAAAGCATTGTGTTTTTTAATGTCGATAATTTTTTTTCACCAACTCTATATTTTAGTTCTTGATAGTCGTCAATTACATAAATTGGTGGATCAATTTCAATTCGAAAGATTCACCACTGACTATTGTTGGTTCAGTTGTCAGTATGGACCTATCAGGTCGATGCTCGAGCTGAACCTAACCTTAGTTTACCCTAATATATTGTGATCAGTATGGGCTTGTTGTGGAACGTGGATAATAGGTTATGGACTTTTTCTTATGTATGAGCTCAATAAAGTAAATGTATACATCATACAAATCTTTAGCAGGTTAGGTTACAGTTAGATGCCATACATGTATTTTAGACTGGACAAATGGTTTTCGCACATTATTATTTTTCTTCGTTTGCACACTTATATGCCTTGACTCTCTTTTGATCTCTTTTGACTCTCAAAAATTACTTCCCTACTGTATATATTGTAGCAATTGAAACAAATCTTTACTTTCTAATGAACTGTATTCTTCATGTCACGCTCTCACTCAAACAAAAAAAAAAACCCTCAAATTCCCAATTTGGGGTTAATCACATCCTATTACGGAATCAGTTTTAAAATGATAAGATGATATTACGCATTTAATTCACCCACTAATTAAGTAAATATCTGCTAATTATTTTTGTGATAATTAAAGAAAATCAAGAATATTCTCATAATATGTCGGGACATATTCATCTTTCTGCCCTCTCCTCAACTAGTCTGTAAGGAGGGCTCTTAGATAGGAAAAAACATTTTGTAAAACTTTCCACTAGTAAATCTCTCTCTAGTTTGCCACTAAGTACTATGGTCTAGTGGTATTCATCAAGTGAGAGGTCTTAGGTTCGATTCTTACCAAATGTGAGTTTGAACCATATTATTGCTAACTCATTATGAGGCTGAGCCACCCCCCTTCTCTTAGTTTAGATAATGTCGTTTGTTAAAAAAAAAAAAAAAAAAAAAAATCTCTCTCTAGTTTAGCCTCCAGGGTTATCACCGTAAACCGAAACCATTGGAGTTGTGAAGTTAGGTATAACTACGTCAATTTGGTCCTGGTACAGCTACACAAGGTATGTAGGCATCTAACTGGTTAGATACAACCGAATCCTCCTCAAGGTGGCGTTCTTGTTCATGATTCATGCAAAAGTTTGTAAAAAAAAGACAGCAATCTGAAATTCGTTAATTCTGTGAAGTATGTCCCTTAACATGTTCCATATTTATTGCTTCAATTTCCAACAAATTTGATCGATAATGAAATTGACATTATGCTTGCTTGTTATATTGTAGTATTTTGTGAGGAGTAAAACGAGGGAGACCAAATTTTTTAAACCAAATGATATGGTTGTAGATGATTGGATTATTAACCAAGGGTTGGTTAATATGCTTATTTCTTCGGGTGTCTTAATAAAACACTTCTAGTACTATTCACTTTTAACATTAATGACATTTTTACTATGAAAAGTCACTCATGGTACTATTCACTTACAACAATATTTTGTTCTTTTAATTAGGGGTGTGCTATCTACACACCCATTTTTACTTCTCACACCCCCTTGTTAATTTTTGTCTGTTGATCTTCTTCAATTCATTCGATCCGACGGTCGAAAACCAAAAAGGTGTGGGAGAAGTAAAAGGGGGTGTGTGGATATCACACCCCTTTAATTAACACTAGGGTTTTTGAGGACTTTTTGTTAGTTTTCCTTATTTTTATTGGTGACATACCATTTCATTTAGAAATTTGATCTCCTTAACATGATCCTTTTGTTAGCGATCAACATGTATTATATATACAAGTTGTCGAACTGACCAAGGTGTAGCTACATATTCAATTCTAGTATAATAACTGATTTGTAGGGGAGAATTTTTTCAGTAAGGTGTCTTATTAGAGTAGCTTTTGTGCGACTGGCACAGATTGTGAGATCAAAATATATGAAAAAGCTATAGTTTGTAAGACATGTAATAATGATGATGTGACCAGGTGCCCCTACCGAAGTTTTTCTTCATGGTTTTTCTTCCTTTAATGGCCTTATGCAAATGTCATCCGCGGCTAATCTGTTGGGTATTGATGTATACTTGTGTCTAAAATTAGTGATTTTAGGATTTAGAGCTAAAGGTTTTGTTGTTATAGTTTATCACTATATGATATTAAATCGTTAACACAAAACACCATATTAACAGCGTAAACGTAACATGAAAATCCTTCTCACGGCTAAGGGGTTAAGGGGTTAAGGGGTTAAGGGGTTTCTCCTCTTTGGTCTTTAGAACTTAAAAAGTTTAATGAGATTTATAAACTTGATCGAGCTGCATAGAGATAGTAGATGGTAAATACATCTCTAATCCAACGTTCAATAAACAAAAAGAGCCCTGTATCCATTCAAGTATTACCTTCCCCTTCTAACTTCTAAGTTGTCAATTAACTAGGCTCTTGCAAAACATGAACACGACGATATCGAGCCTCTCCCTTCCCTTGTATGTCCAGAAACTGAAATTCGGGGCTCGTACTAACTCTATGCAACTGCGGCGGGTTAAATACTAGACACTGCACTGCTGATCACATTATATTCTAATCATGTAGCGTGAGGCGACGTAGCATAACTTGGATTCGATTGGCTGATATCCTCCTCCGCTTGTACCGCTTGTAGTACTCATGAGATATTTTCCCACAGTTGGCATCCTCGAAGCAAGAAAACTCTCGACTGCTCTCACCCACGCGCGGTCTACTTTCATTACCGGCAGCATTGCTGGTGAAATATAGCACTGTCAATAGTTTAGCATTTTCTTCAAGTAACTTGGAGATCAAGTAAGCTAAAATTAATGGTAGGCATGCTATGGGGTGAATTTCCAAATTATATTCCGAAATGGGCCAAATTATATACTAATCGTATGACGTATCCAAACTGCTTTAACCACAATCTACTAGGTCATGATTTTGTCTTAACGAGCATTAATACCGTATGTCTTCTAGTTTCCATTTCAACATTCTGAATATTAAGTAGTGAGATGTGGACATACTTTACTCCTTGGTAAATAATTCTTCCATCCTCAGTTTGTTCTTCTTGATACAGTTCAGTATCGTAACTGGAGCTATCAAAATCAGCATTGTCACGACTTCCACAGATATCACCGTAAAGATCAAGCCGAGTTCCTGCAAAATGCCATATAAGAAAGTGGACACCAGTTAGTCTGGTAATGGTGGATTTCATTTTGTTTGGGTGAAAAGGGGAAAAAAGCTGAACAACATTACAGATACTTTCTCTAATGGCCTTGCTTCGGCTGGAGCGTTCTTCATTAACAGTTTCTGACACATAATGGTACCCTCAAAATCAAGGAAAGTATAATCCAGAAACTTTAGCCTTTCGGAAGGTGTCATCTTTGAGAACCAAAATGAAGTCGTCCATGTGTTTAGCACACTAGGGGCAGCGGGCAAAACCAATCTCTCCTCCCCTAATTCCATAAGCAACTGACAAAAACATGAAGGCAATTATGAGAAACTACACTACAGAAATGAAAACAAGCACACACAGAGGGTGACAACTACAAACTGCAGGAATACTCAATACGTTAGCTTTTCAAGTTCATCCATTAATAAATGACACATTCCAAGTCGACAATATTGAAATCTGGTAGCCAGAAGAGGAACTTCTGCCACTTTGTCTCCAAAAATCCTTTTGAACAAGAAACTACCAGTTTAGGAACAATCTAATCCGCAACAAAGCTCACCAATTCTTAACTGGCAGCGAACTGAAAACCTCACCTTACAGTAGCCAGTGATTAATTCGTCATATCTCTCCAAAAGCACAGTATAGAACCCTTGGAAGTTCAGGCGATTAAGATGTGACCTGCAAAATTCCACAAACAGGTCTTCAAAAGTGAAATAACAATTTCATGTAACTATCACTAAACAAAAAATTTAACAGTGAACACAATTTTTCAGGGGGGAATGAACAGCTTCATGTGCTAAGCTCAAGTATTAGCAGTATTTTAGCAAGGCACGCAAAAGAAATTTTGACAATGACAGTATGAATATCACACCTCCGGCTGAAGATGACATCTTCTACAAGATTTCTCCCAGTAAGAGGTTCCTTAACAGGCAGAAAACACTCATGAACCACATCAAGAGCAATATTGAGCCTGCTGTCCGTCAAGGCATCATCAATATCATGTTCATCCGTAGCATGAGTATCACACTTATTTAACTTCAACAGTGACCAAGATAGGTTGTCATCACCCACTGGAATTTGTTTTCCTAAAAGCTCATCGAGGCTGAAAAATATCTGAAAACTTGAAACAGTCAATCCAACGTTACATGGAGAGAAAAGCGAAATAGACAAGTAGCTCGGGATGAAAGTTATAATAAATAAGATCCATAATTCACCCTAAAACATCTGACAGAAAAACATGAGACTGAACTTATTTAGAATAGTTTTACTTTTAATTGAATTTAGACAGGGTAAAAACTGATAAATTCTGGTGAGTTAGTTTGGTTCCTGGAGGCAGACAAGAAAATGAAAACAAGAAAACAAAATCGGAGTGAAAACAATTCACAGATATTTCAAGAAAATCATGTAAAGGATATTCCTTAAAGCTAATCTAGATCAATCTCAGTAATCAAAACAGATTTGATCTAACAGCAAACTATCAAAGACTTAACACTTTGATTCTTCCTTCTTAAACACTTGAACAAACTAAATTCTAACTTTACCAGCATACCC